TTACCGTTAGTAATTAGTGGTTAACTGCTGTTATTACATCATCGTTACAGTTAGTAACTAGTGGTTAACTGCTGTTATTAACATCATCGTTACCGTTAGTAACTAGTGGTTAACTGCTGTTATTAACATCATCGTTACCGTTAGTAAGTAGTGGTTAACTGCTGTTACTAACATCATCGTTACCGTTAGTAACTAGTGGTTAACTGCTGTTATTAACATCATCGTTACCGTTAGTAAGTAGTGGTTAACTGCTGTTACTAACATCATCGTTACCGTTAGTAACTAGTGGTTAACTGCTGTTACTAACATCATCGTTACCGTTAGTAATTAGTGGTTTAACTGCTGTTACTAACATCATCGTTGACCGTTAGTAACTAGTGGTTAACTGCTGTTACTAACATCATCGTTACCGTTAGTAATTAGTGGTTAACTGCTGTTACTAACATCATCGTTACCGTCAGTAATTAGTGGTTAACTGCTGTTATTAACATCATCGTTACCGTTAGTAATTAGTGGTTAACTGCTGTTATTAACATCATCGTTACCGTTAGTAATTAGTGGTTAACTGCTGTTATTAACATCATCGTTACCGTTAGTAACTAGTGGTAACTGCTGTTGTTAAGCATCATCGTTACCGTTAGTAATTAGTGGGTTAACTGCTGTTATTAACATCATCGTTACCGTTAGTAACTAGTGTTAACTGCTGTTATTAACATCATCGTTACCGTTAGTAACTAGTGGTTAACTGCTGTTATTAACATCATCGTTACCGTTAGTAATTAGTGGTTAACTGCTGTTATTAACATCATCGTTACCGTTAGTAACTAGTGGTTAACTGCTGTTATTAACATCATCGTTACCGTTAGTAACTAGTGGTTAACTGCTGTTATTAACATCATCGTTACCGTTAGTAACTAGTGGTTAACTGCTGTTATTAACAATCATCGTTAGTGGTAACCGTTACTAATTAGTGGTAACTGGTTAATGCTGTTATTAACATCATCGTTACCGTTAGTAATAGTGGTTACTGCTGTTATTAACATCATCGTTACCGTTAGTAACTAGTGGTTAACTGCTGTTATTAACATCATCGTTACCGTTAGTAACTAGTGGTTAACTGCTGTTATTAACATCATCGTTACCGTTAGTAACTAGTGGTTAACTGCTGTTATTAACATCATCGTTACCGTTAGTAACTAGTGGTTAACTGCTGTTATTAACATCATCGTTACTGTTAGTAATTAGTGGTTAACTGCTGTTATTAACATCATCGTTACCGTTAGTAATTAGTGGTTAACTGCTGTTATTAACATCATCGTTACCGTTAGTAACTAGTGGTTAACTGCTGTTATTAACATCATCGTTACCGTTAGTAACTAGTGGTTAACTGCTGTTATTAACATCATCGTTACCGTTAGTAATTAGTGGTTAACTGCTGTTATTAACATCATCGTTACCGTTAGTAACTAGTGGTTAACTGCTGTTATTAACATCATCGTTACCGTTAGTAACTAGTGGTTAACTGCTGTTATTAACATCATCGTTACCGTTAGTAACTAGTGTTAACTGCTGTTATTACATCAGCGTTACCGGTTAGTAACTAGTGGTTAACTGCTGTTACTAACATCATCGTTACCGTTAGTAATAGTGGTTAACTGCTGTTATTAACATCATCAGTTAACCGGTTAGTACTAGTGGTTAACTGCTGTTACTAACATCATCGTTACCGTTAGTAATTAGTGGTTTAACTGCTGTTATTGTAACATCATCGTTACTGTTAGTAATTAGTGGTTAACTGCTGTTATTAACATCATCGTTACTGTTTAGTAACTAGTGGTTAACTGCTGTTATTAACAATCATCGTTACCGTTAGTAACTAGTGGTTAACGCTGTTATTAACATCATCGTTACCGTTAGTAACTAGTGGTAAACTGCTGTTATTAACATCATCGTTACCGTTAGTAATTAGTGGTTAACTGCTTGTTATTAACATCATCGTTACAGTTAGTACTAGTGGTTAACTGCTGTTATTAAAATCATCGTTACCGTTAGTAACTAGTGGTTAACTGCTGTTATTAACATCATCGTTACCGTTAGTAACTAGTGGTTAACTGCTGTTATTAACCATCATCGTTACCGTTAGTAATTAGTGTTAACTGCTGTTATTAAACATCATCGTTACCGTTAGTAACTAGTGGTTAACTGCTGTTATAACATATAGTTACCGTTAGTATAAGTAGTGGTTTAACTGCTGTTATAAAATCACGTTACCGTTAGTAAACTAGTGGTTAACTGCTGTTATTAACATCATCGTTACCGTTAGTAACTAGTGGTTTAACTGCTGTTATTAACAATCATCGTTACCGTTAGTACTTAGTGGTTTACTGCTGTTATTAACATCATCGTTACCGTTAGTAGTTAGTGGTTAACTGCTGTTATTAACATCATCGTTACCGTTAGTAACTAGTGGTTAACTGCTGTTACTAACAATCATCGTTACCGTTAGTAACTAGTGGTTAACTGCTGTTATTAACATCAATCGTTAACCGTTAGTAACTAGTGGTTACCTGCTGTTATTAACATCATCGTTACCGTTAGTACCTAGTGGGGTTAACTGCTGTTTATTAACCTCATCGATTAACATCACGTTAGCGGGTTGTAATTAGTGGTTAAAGCTGCTGTTTACTAACAATCAGATCGTTACCCAGTTAGTAACTAGTGGTTTAACGACTGTCTGTTACTTAACATCATCGTTACCATTAGTAAGTTAGTGTTTAACTGCTGTGTACTTAATAACATCATTCGTTACCGTTAATATAGTGGTTAACTGCTGTTATTAACATAAGTCAGTTACCAGGGAGTAACTAGGGTTAACTGCTGTTTATTAACTCATTCGTTTACCGTTAGTAACTAGTGGTTAACTTGCTGTTATTAACATCATCGTTACCGTTAGTAACTAGTGGTTAACTGCTGTTATTAACATCATCGTATACCAGTGAGTAACTAGGGTTAACTGCTGTACTTAACATCATCCGTTACCGTTAGTAATTAGTGGTTAACTGCTGTTATTAACATCATCGTTACCGTTAGTAATTAGTGGTTAAACTGCTGTATTAACATCATCGTTACCCGTTAGTAATTAGTGGTTAACTGCTGTTATTAACATCATCGTTACCGTTAGTAACTAGTGGTTAACTGCTGTTACTAACAACAACCATCAATCGTTACTGTTAGTAACTAGTGGTTAACTGCTGTTAGTAAACATCATCGTTACCAGTTACTAATTAGTGGGTAACTGCTGTTTATTAACATCATCGTTACCGTCAGTAATTAGTGGTTAACTGCTGTTATTAACATCATCGTTACCGTTAGTAACTAGTGGTTAACTGCTGTTATTAACATCATCGTTAACCGTTAGTAACTAGTGGTTAACTGCTGTTATTAACATCATCGTTACCGTTAGTAAATTAGTGGTTAACTGCTGTTATTAACATCATCGTGACCGTTAGTAACTAGTGGGTAACTGCTGTTATTAACATCATCGTTACCGTTCAGTAATTAGTGGTTTAACTGCTGTTATTAACATCATCGTTACCGTTAGTAACTAGTGGTTAACTGCTGTTATTAACATCATCGTTACCGTTAGTAACTAGTGGTTAACTGCTGTTATTAACATCATCTTACCGTTAGTAACTAGTGGGTTAACTGCTGTTATTACATCATCGTTACCGTTAGTAACTAGTGGGTTAACTGCTGTTATTAACATCATCGTTTACCGTTAGTAACTAGTGGTTAACGCTGTTATTAACATCATCGTTACCGTTAGTAATTAGTGGGTAACTGCTGTTATTAACATCATCGTTACCGTTAGTAACTAGTGTTAACTGCTGTTATTACATCATCGTTACCGTTAGTAATTAGTGGTTAACTGCTGTTATTAACATCATCGTTACCGTTAGTAATCTAGTGGTTAACTGCTGTTATTAACATCATCGTTACCGTTAGTAACTAGTGGTTTACTTGCTGTTATTAACATCATCGTTCCGTTAGTAACCTAGTGGTTAACTGCTGTTATTAACATCATCGTACGTTAGTAACTAGTGGTTAACTGCTGTTATTAACATCATTGTTACCGTTAGTAACTAGTGGTTAACTGCTGTTATTAACATCATCGTTACCGTTAGTAACTAGTGGTTAACTGCTGTTATTAACATCATCGTTACCGTTAGTAATTAGTGGTTTACTGCTGTTATTAACATCATTGTTTACCGTTAGTAACTAGTGGTTAACTGCTGTTATTAACATCATCGTTACCGTTAGTAACTAGTGGTTAACTGCTGTTATTAACATCATCGTTACCGTTAGTAATTAGTGGTTAACTGCTGTTATTACATCATCAGTTACCGTTAGTAATTAGTGGTTAACTGCTGTTATTAACATCATCGTTAAGCGCGTTAGGAACTAGTGGTTAACTGCTGTTAGTAACATCATCGTTACTGTTAGTATTAGTGGTTAACTGCTGTTATTAACATCATCGTTACCGTTAGTAACTAGTGGTTAACTGCTGTTACTAACATCATCGTTACCGTTAGTAACTAGTGGTTAACTGCTGTTATTAACATCATCGTTACCGTTAGTAATTAGTGGTTAACTGCTGTTATTAACATCATCGTTACCGTTAGTAATTAGTGGTTAACTGCTGTTATTAACATCATCGTTACCGTTAGTAACTAGTGGTTAACTGCTGTTATTAACATCATCGTTACCGTTAGTAATTAGTGGTTTACTGCTGTTATTAACATCATCGTTACCGTTAGTAACTAGTGGTTAACTGCTGTTATTAACATCATCGTTACCGTTAGTAATTAGTGGTTTACTGCTGTTATTAACATCATCGTTACCCGTTAGTAATTAGTGGTTACTGCTGTTATTAACATCATCGTTACCGGTAGTAACTAGTGGTTAACTGCTGTTATTAACACCCATCGTTACCGTTAGTAATTAGTGGTTAACTGCTGTTATTAACATCATCGTTACCGTTAGTAACTAGTGGTTAACTGCTGTTATTAACATCATCGTTACCGTTAGTAATTAGTGGTTAACTGCTGTTATTAACATCATCGTTACCGTTAGTAATTAGTGGTTAACTGCTGTTATTAACATCATCGTTACCGTTAGTAATTAGTGGTTAACTGCTGTTACTAACATCATCGTTACCGTTAGTAACTAGTGGTTAACTGCTGTTATTAACATCATCGTTACCGTTAGTAATTAGTGGTTAACTGCTGTTACTAACATCATCGTTACCGTTAGTAGTTAGTGGTTAACTGCTGTTATTAACATCATCGTTACCGTTAGTAACTAGTGGTTAACTGCTGTTATTAACATCATCGTTACCGTTAGTAACTAGTGGTTAACTGCTGTTATTAACATCATCGTTACCGTTAGTAATTAGTGGTTAACTGCTGTTACTAACATCATCGTTACCGTTAGTAGTTAGTGGTTAACTGCTGTTATTAACATCATCGTTACCGTTAGTAACTAGTGGTTAACTGCTGTTATTAACATCATCGTTACTGTTAGTAATTAGTGGTTAACTGCTGTTATTAACATCATCGTTACCGTTAGTAACTAGTGGTTAACTGCTGTTATTAACATCATCGTTACCGTTAGTAACTAGTGGTTAACTGCTGTTATTAACATCATCGTTACCGTTAGTAACTTAGTGGTTAACTGCTGTTATTAACATCATCGTTACGTTAGTAATTAGGTGGTTAACTGCTGTTATTAAATCATCTGTCACATCGTACTAGTGTTACTTGTTATTAACATATCGTTACGTTAGTACTAGTGGTTAACTGCTGTTATTAACATCATCGTTACCGTTAGTAACTAGTGGTTTAATCTGCTGTTTATTAACATCATCGTTACCGTTAGTAATTAGTGGTTAACTGCTGTTACTTAACATTCATCGTACCGTTAGTAACTAGTGGTTAACTGCTGTTATTAACAGTCATTGTTACCGTTAGTAACTAGTGGTTAACTGCTGCTACTAACATCATCGTTACCGTTAGTAATTAGTGGTTAACTGCTGTTACTAACATCATCGTTACCGTTAGTAACTAGTGGTTAACTGCTGTTATTAACATCATCGTTACCGTTGTATTAGTGGTTAACTGCTGTTATTAACATCATCGTTACCGTTAGTAATTAGTGGTTAACTGCTGTTATTAACATCATCGTTACCGTTAGTAACTAGTGGTTAACTGCTGTTATTAACATCATCGTTACCGTTAGTAACTAGTGGTTAACTGCTGTTATAACATCATCGTTACCGTTAGTAATTAGTGGTTAACTGCTGTTATTAACATCATCGTTACCGTTAGTAATAGTGGTTAACTGCTGTTATAACATCATCGTTACCGTTAGTAATTAGTGGTTAACTGCTGTTATTAACATCATCGTTACCGTTAGTAACTAGTGGTTAACTGCTGTTATTAACATCATCGTTACCGTTAGTAATTAGTGGTTAACTGCTGTTATTAACATCATCGTTACCGTTAGTAATTAGTGGTTAACTGCTGTTATTAACATCATCGTTACCGTTAGTAACTAGTGGTTAACTGCTGTTATTAACATCATCGTTACCGTTAGTAACTAGTGGTTAACTGCTGTTATTAACCATCATCGTTACCGTTAGTAACTAGTGTTTAACTGCTGTTATTAACATCATCGTTACCGTTAGTAATTAGTGGTTAACTGCTGTTATTAACATCATCGTTACCGTTAGTAACTAGTGGTTAACTGCTGTTATTAACATCATCGTTACCGTTAGTAACTAGTGGTTAACTGCTGTTATTAACATCATCGTTACCGTTAGTAACTAGTGGTTAACTGCTGTTATTAACATCATCGTTACCGTTAGTAACTAGTGGTTAACTGCTGTTATTAACATCATCGTTACCGTTAGTAATTAGTGGTTTACTGCTGTTATTAACATCATCGTTACCGTTAGTAACTAGTGGTTAACTGCTGTTATTAACATCATCGTTACCGTTAGTAACTAGTGGTTAACTGCTGTTATTAACATCATCGTTAACCGTTTAAGTAATTAGTGGTTAACTGCTGTTATTAACATCATCGTTACCGTTAGTAACTAGTGGTTAACTGCTGTTATTAACATCATCGTTACCGTTAGTAACTAGTGGTTAACTGCTGTTATTAACATCATCGTTACCGTTAGTAATAGTGGTTAACTGCTGTTATTAACATCATCGTTACCGTTAGTAACTAGTGGTTAACTGCTGTTATTAACATCATCGTTACCGTTAGTAACTAGTGGTTAACTGCTGTTATTAACATCATCGTTACCGTTAGTAACTAGTGGTTAACTGCTGTTATTAACATCATCGTTACCGTTGTAACTAGTGGTTAACTGCTGTTATTAACATCATCGTTTCCGTTAGTAACTAGTGGTTAACTGCTGTTATTAACATCATCGTTACCGTTAGTAACTAGTGGTTACTGCTGTTATTAACATCATCGTTACCGTTAGTAACTAGTGGTTAACTGCTGTTATTAACATCATCGTTACCGTTAGTAATTAGTGGTTAACTGCTGTTATTAACATCATCGTTACCGTTAGTAATTAGTGGTAATGCTGTTATAACATCATCGTTACCGTAGTAATTAGTGGTTAACTGCTGTTATTAACATCATCGTTACCGTTTAGTAACTAGTGGTTAACTGCTGTTATTAACATCATCGTTACTGTTAGTAATTAGTGGTTAACTGCTGTTATTAACATCATCGTTTACCGTTAGTAACTAGTGGTTAACTGCTGTTATTAACATCATCGTTACCGTTAGTAACTAGTGGTTAACTGCTGTTATTAACATCATCGTTACCGTTAGTAATTAGTGGTTAACTGCTGTTATTAACATCATCGTTACCGTTAGTAATTAGTGGTTAACTGCTGTTATTAACATC